CTATGTGTCCAACACTTCAGGCAGTCATTGACTGTAAAGGATTTGCAACCAAGTATTAAAACTGACTGTTTAATTGATGATTATGTTAGTTTGTCCAAATACTTATGAGCCCTTAAAGTCGGGGGACTGTGTGAAGAAATGGTTGTCATTCCTACACGGTTCATACTACATTTTTGAAAAAGCCTTAAATGAAAGCTGAGAGTCTGCACTTTAAGCAGGTATTCATTGTTTCATTTAAAACCCATTGTGGTGGTGTACAGAGCCAAAATGATGACAACTGTATCATTGTCCAAATAATTATGGACCTGACTGTAGATGCATGGAACGGGGGAGATGTGTGCTCTCTCCACCTTAGGCTTTCCACATAGGTGCGTGGGGGGGGGCAGCAGCAGAGGTGAGCTCTCTCCCCAGAACAAAGTCATACCATTTTTTTGACCAGGTTGTAAACATGTTTATTTCCACTGTAAAATTGGACATTTTAAAGCCAGGAACTTTCATTTTGAGTTGATTTTGGCGACCCTGTGGACAAAAGTGGTAGTGTTTTGCCAGAATGAAGCCTACATTTCCCATGAGCTCTAGCGCCTATTGTCGTAAAGATGCTTACCTGGCTCTGTTTAGGGGATGAATGAAACAACAAGACGGGAAACCTTTGCCCCCGCTCCTATCGGGGATCCCAGCTCACCTCTGCCGCGCCCCAGCTCCACCTCTCCGGCGTAAGTGCCACCGCCGCCGGGGTAAACGCAGCGGTCGGCTGGTAAGGCTGAAGGCCTGTTTGGTGAGCACTTCCACGGCTTCTTAGACTGAGTGTGGAGCGAACTAATGTTTGTTTCTCTTTATTTCTCGGCACTCGCTGGACCCTGTCGACGCCTGGCTGGTACCTGTCGTCAGCCCGGATGAGGTGTTCCAGCCCCACGGCCCCTGCTCTCCTCGTCCCTGCTGGTGCAGGGTGAATCTGCACAACCTGCGGCCTCTCTGTGTGGCTCCCCGGACAGCTAACGCCGTGGACCCGCTGGCTCCTGCCAGGATTGGGCTGGTAAATGCTAGATCGCTAGCGAACAAAACGTTTATCCTGAAGGATTTCCTGACTTCCCGAGGATTGGATTTTCTCCGTGTGACTGAGACGTGGCTGACTGTTGGTGAGTCCAGTGCTATCACAGAACTTTTACCCGATGATTGCTGCTATTTTAACTCCCCGCGGACGTCGGGTCGAGGAGGAATAGCGACTATTTATAAGAGTCACTATAAATGTAAGCAGCTAGGTAAGATGACGTGTGCCGTCTGAGTGCCGTAAATCATTTTGTCCTGGAAGCGACCTGGGGCGGACCAGAGACTGTTACCTAAAGGTATGGATATACACTATATAGAAATAGCTTATCTTCACCGATGGTCTCATTTGCTGTTGTAGGCCATGCACAGACATCAGCAGAAATGAGAGACTTTTGCATATCCAGTTAAAAGTTCCTTGTAGCAGCTTCAACATGGAGGTCGATGGGGATTGAGTGCTTCTGGAACCAGCCTCAAGTGGCTGTTCAAAAACTGCAGTTTTGGGGACTTTTATATTGGCTTAATTTTTTCAGGCCCAGCTTGTCCCAGTTGTATGTAGGCAACTGTTTGCTACGTTCACCGTAATAACTTTGAAAAGGGATATAATATAAATGTTGTGCTTTTTCAGCATTTTCTGCTGTCCCGTAAAATTATGTGATACAACTTTCTAACAAACGACTCAAGAGAATTCTAGCAAATGTGCCATTATAATAAACCGTAAAACTTCACTTAAATGCCCAGTCCCTTTTACTAGCTCAGTATGGCTACACATTCGGACAAATAAATTCCTGTCTCAATGGGATGCCTAGTCTTGTTGCCAAGCAGTTCATTTTTATAGAAGTTCTTTGGATGTACACTGCCTGGCCAAAAAAAAAGTCACCACCAAAAAAAAGGTCATACACTCTAATATTTCGTTGGACCGCCTTTAGCTTTGATTACGGCATGCATTCGCTGTGGCATTGTTTCGATAAGCTTCTGCAATGTCACAAGATTTATTTCCATCCAGTGTTGCATTAATTTTTCACCAAGATCTTGCACTGATGACAGTAGAGTCTGACCGCTGCGCAAAGCCTTCTCCAGCACATCCCAAAGATTCTCAATGGGGTTAAGATCTGGACTCTGTGGTGGCCACTCCATGTGTGAAAATGATGTCTCATGCTCCCTGAACCTGTCTTTCACAATTTGAGCCCAATGAATCCTGGCATTGTCATCTTGGAATATGCCCGTGCCATCAGGGAAGAAAAAATCCATTGATGGAATAACCTGGTCATTCAGTATATTCAGGTAGTCAGCTGACCTCATTCTTTGAGCACATACTGTTGCTGAACCTAGACCTGACCAACTGCAGCAACCCCAGATCATAACACTGCCCCCACAGGCTTGTACAGTAGGCACTAGGCATGATGGGTGCATCACTTCATCTGCCTCTCTTCTTACCCTGATGCGCCCATCACTCTGGAACAGGGTAAATCTGGAC